AAAAAGTAGCTCATAAAACCCCCCCCCCCCCCCCAAACCCCCAACAGCCAAAAAGAATAAAAACCAGAGCTTTATGATTATCTGTTAACAACATACACTCTACTAGCACTTTCTTCCAGCTATAAAGTGTTCACTGTATCGGCTCAACGACATACAGTGTTGTTAAAAATGGAAAGGTTTTAAGGCTAATGAGAGTTTCATTAAACAATGCCTTGACTTAATCTAAACTAAAGCATAAAAAAAAGAAAGTTCTAACAAAAAAAACAAGTCTTTCTACATAGAAAGAATCAATCTTTATAAGCAAAAAATAAGCAAATCCAGAAATGGGCACCTTAAAAATGAAATCTTGAAGATCAATCATACAAACAGGAAAATGAACTTCAGCAGCAATTAAACAATCAGCTAAATCAAGATTCTGAGAAACCAATTAACCCCAAAACAAGTAAAAAAAAAACAATTCATAACCAAAATTCAAGCTCAAACCAACTCATAAACAAGCTGAAACACACATCACAGCCTACAAGATTCAGAATTTCATTCAACCACAACTGAATTAGCTATAAACAAACATCAACTTACCAACAAAATACATAAAAAGTTAAAAAAAAAAAACATAAAAAAGAAGATACACCCACTAAAGAGTACATGTAAAGCTTACATAGCAGAGCTGATACATATCTGAGAAAAAAGAAAAATCAAGAGAGAAAAGAGGGTCAAAACTCAAAACTCAAAACCCTAACTTGAAAGAGATAAATATCAGTGAAGAAAGAACAGTAGTTGAAAGAAAGAGCAACATTGACATCACCCATCGACTCTTTTTTCCTCTTTTTTTTTGGGGGGGGTGTTTTTTTTTTTTTTTTTTTTGTATTTTTCATTAATTTTATCTTTTACCTGTCAACACCAATACCAACACCCATACCAGCATCTTTTTGTTTTCTTCCTCTCTCTTTCTTGAGTTTCTTTATTACCCTTTGGAAAAAATATTACAGTATCAATCCACTTTGATATATCTATAGTGTTTTCTGAAAAATTGACTGCAAAGCCATGACTGTGAGTGGAAGCTTATATAGAAACTTGTGCTAATAACAAGTATAAAGGCAAAAAGACTACCTTTTTATGTGTCTGCTTGCTACTGGTTGGAATACTTCTAATTTCTTTTGCTAAAATGAGAATTTTTCTTCACTAATATCACCTGAATATGACATAACAGCTCACTTTCTGTATATAAGAAAAGTGAATTAATTTTTTAAGGAAAAAATAAAATAGTAGTCAAAGAGAAATGGGAAAAGGGATTAAGGTGATCAAATTCTATGGAAATCTTTTAACTTTTGTGAAAGTTTGATTGACCTGTGAGTCGTGTAATAAAAAAACAAAACAAAAATGAGGGATGGTCAATGGGGAAAGGGATTAAGGTAATTGAATTTGTGGATATTCATATAGTCACTTAATTAAACTTTAAAAGTTTTAATTTTTTGTGAAAGTTTGATTGACCCATGAGCCGTGTAATAAAAGAGAAAGTGAGAAAAAATGGGGGATGGTCAATTGGAAAAAGGATTAAGGTAATCTAATTGTAGATATTCATATAGTCAATTAACTAAACTTTGGAATTTTTAATTTTTGTGAAAGTTTAATTGACCTTTGAGCAATGTAATAAAAGTGAAAATGACAAAAATGGGAAATGGTCAATGGAAAAGAGATTAAGGTAATCAAATTTGTGGATATTCATCTAGACAATCAACTAAACTTTGAAATTTTTATTTTTTTGTGAAAGTTTAATTGACCTGTGAGTAGTGTTATAAAAGAGAAAATAACAAAAATGGTCCTAAACAAAAGAGTAGGTTTAAATTTTTTCGTTAAATATATACTCTTGAATAGTTAAATTCTTTTAAATTTATTCAAAATGAACTCCTTTTGGTCTGTAAATGAGCATTTAATCAATTTTGACTATTAGATTTATTAGTAAATTGTGAAAAGAAAAAGGAATAAACATGAATTTACATGTGAGATTTTACTACTACATTAAAACTTTTGATGTTCTATTTTTCGAAATTTAACGAGACTTCTCTTATTTTTCAACTTAAATCTTTTTGTTTTATAAATTCCGTACAATCTAGTAATAGCCCTAGTGAATAAAAATGTTCGTTTAACTTAATTTCAGCTGATATTTATGTCTTTTAATTTTGAGTATGAGCAAGTAGACATTTAACTTTGTGCGAAATTGAACAAGTACACATATATACTACATGGTAATTCACGTAAAATACACTCGAATTGATTTGTATTTTGTCATATAAAATGTGTGTGTACTTGTTCAACTTTACATAAAGTTACGTATCTATTTACACACCCAAAATTAGAAGGCGGTAGTGACATCAGAAGAAAATATGTACGTAGAGTCGTAGACTTTAGTCATACCTCCATGAGTGGTAGAGAGTCTGTGTCTGTAAGAAACTAGTGGATCATTTAAAAGTTGCCTAAGTACTGAACAAGTCCCAATAGTGCAATATTACAAGAGCAACAATTATATCAACATAGCCACAATAATGCAAAATAAACTGATTTTGAGACATGAATTTAACAGTAGTTCATGTTAAGGCCATTAAAATCTACATCTGATATTTGGCTCACACCTTCTTCAAATCTAACTTGTATGAGTTTTCTTCTCTATGCTTGACTTGCTCAAAACGATAACTCCAAGCACGATAAGGGAAGCGCCTGCAAACCACTGCAAAAGCAATACCAATTAATAGATCAATGGCATAAGTTTCATCGTATAGGACAGGTTGATCTAACATCAACACCAATGGGGATCAGGGACGTATCTACCTTTTAGTTGATGTAAAACCATAGATGCTTGAACATTGTTTATTATCATGTAGGGAAACCAATAGCCATATCAACCATATAGGAACACATTTCTGATTTAATTAGAACTTCAGGCTAATCTTAACTAGCTACAAGTTCTCTAACATTCGTTTTGAGAAACTCTACTGGTACTTATTATTAAAAATATGCAGGAACACATTCTACAAAAACAAATGATGTTGACAAAATAGTTAGAAAACTCGTGTTCATTACTTTATTCCCTTTTAATACCTGCTTTGAAATGTTTTACTCGTAGCCTAGGGTCTATACAAACAACCTCTCTACTTTCACAAGTTAGGAGTAAGGTCTGAGTACACACCACCCTCTCTAAACCCCACTTGTGGGAGTATACTAGGTATATTGTTGTTGTTGTTGCGGAAACTGATTAATTTTTAGTGTAAACAGTTGCGTATTGTAAAAAGGTTGAAACACATCTAACGTATTGTATGGTCATTACCACCGCAGTCAAAGGTCCTAGATACATACCCCTTCTATCATATTTTTGATGTATAACTCTTAAGATAGCTGAATGGAGGGACAGCACAGTGTCTCTTGTTCCTCCAAAGAGAAGAAATCTCTCTTTCGAGTGTCTATAAACCATGGAAATATTACCTTTTATGTAGAGAAGAGCATTAATTTGAATTGGCCTTTTTGATTTTATCAGTTGATGAAATCTATGACAAAAGAACAATTTCATCCAGCAATGGTAATATGTTCTAAGAAAAATTTGATTCGGCTATATCTGGGAAAAATCCCAGTTATGGCGATAGGTGCCAAGATGTAACAGCGCAACAACACCAGGATTTCCAGAAAATAGTAAGAGAGGACTGAACAAAAAGTGGGATCGGAGGATCATACTATAGTCCATAAACAGAGTAGCATAAATTTCACAAATTACCTGGATTGGTAGTGGCTCCCGAAAAAGCAAAAATCCAGCCAATCCAGATGATAAAAAGTTGGTTGCAAAGTTAGTCACAGTAGCTTGTAGAGATGATAGAGCTTTAAGGCTATTGACATAGCATCCCCACATTGTGACATTGAATAATATGACACAGCCATATTTGATGAGCTGTGAATTTGAAAAGGATCACATTAGAGTGAAGCAGAAACAAAGAATGAGTACTAATGACATGATTGAGCAAATTTACATAGATAATAGACATTAGACATTCAATGGGGACAAAGATTTATGCCGAATATTTACCACGAAAACAATCAAGGATCTTCATTGACAGGGAACTGAAGCTACACAAGTAGAATACTTGGAATCAATTCAAAATATGACGTGATCAATCCAGGGACATGACTCCAGTAGAAGCATCAATCTAGTTTGCAGTTGACATGTAAACAGACTGAAATAGATAGTATAGTCCCACACTCAAACTCTTCCATTTCAATAACCTCCTTCACTCCTCCCCAACTAAGAAATGTAAAATTTTGAAAAAGATAAGGCATCCCACTGATGACTGATAATCCTTTAAATGCTCAGCTCAATGCAAATACTACAGATTTTTCAAGATCTATGTGTCGAAGACTCATATTTCCAGCTATCTATATTGATTATTGTGGAACATGAGAAATATTGCAGCAATCAAACAGAGACTTCTCAAGATACCACAACACATAAAAGGGAAGTCCGGTGCATAAAGCATACTGCATTCACACAGTCCGGGGAAGGGCCACACCCCAAGAGGGTGTAATGTGGATAACCTACCCTGACGCAAACATCAGTGATTATGACAACATTTGGGTCCAAAGCAAGAGACAGACAAAAGTAGCACTTTAGATAGCAAAGGGTGATTAATCATATCCAGGCCATAATCTTTCACAAAACTAATCCAGCTTTTCCGGTCTATTAGACTATTCAGGGGCGGAGCTAGTAAGGGCCCGAACCCCGGTGGAAAATTACAGTGGTAAGAATTATTTTTTAATGACAATCTTGGCTCCGCTCAATTCATCCCATTTCAGACTCAATTAGGGCATTTCATCATCTTACAAATGAACCCAATTCAGAATTTCAGATCCTACAGCTACAACATACAACTCAATCTCGAACCCACTAAAGTCAGATATATAATGGTCTGACTACGGATTCAGCTGAACTCACTAGCTTTTTTGTTCATATCTATAAATATTTGTCAATGAACCTAGCTATTACTGTAATAAACTTGAGCTCGTTACACAAACCCATAAACTTCAAATCCTAGATCCACCTATTAAAGCCACATGAATTGTCTACGTCAATTCGGCTCTATTTAGACCAATTTCATTCCAACAATCACAGCTAATCAATGAAAGTTTTTGACCTGGGAGGTGAAGAATTTGGCAGAGATGGCTGCAAGGGCAGCGTTGAGTCCAGCGGCGATAGCCCACACATAGCCCTCCATTGATGAATTGAACTGTAGATCTCACTTGAACTCTTGCCAAATCATCAGATAGTTCAAAACTATTTCTGAATTTTTAAGGAAGAAGAAATAGTAATTCACTACTTATGCAGAAATCAGAATTTCGGAAATTATTTATCGGAAGATAAAAAAAATTAAAAATTACTCCTATGATTTGTCATGCATATTTTATTTTTAAATATTTTTATTCTACATTATATTTTGTAAAACATAAAATATATTAATTGAATAAGTTATGTACGGTTAATATTTGGGAAATTTGTGCAAATAGCCATTATAATAAACTTAATTATGATATAATTTGCATATTTACAGACTGTAGCTATAGTTTAAACTCCCGTTTGTATAATCGGCGGGTACATTTGTATAACTCCAAATAATAAATTTATTCAAACACAAATATCTGACCTTTAAACAATTATATAAATTATATTATACAAAAGTTATACAAATTTTGAATTATACAAACCTGAAACTCTAGCCCACGTAATTATCACTGAGTGTTGGTCGCAAGTGGTAATTAACTAAAACTATAGCTATGATGACTAATTCACTAATATATGTTCGGTTAACCATCTAATTTGGATGTTTCTTATATCACGCAAAATATTATGTTAAGGAGTATTTCTTTGTACCTCGAAGATTACACTTGAACCGAAGGTTTTTCGAAAACAATCTCTCTACCTCCACGAAAATGATATGGGCTGATGTACATGCAAGAGTTTGACTATTGGGTCCATTAAGACAGACCTTTTCAAATCCGGCCCAATTAAAATCCGATCCCTAATATATATAAATCCCTTATTTCTCTTTCTTAATACCTCAGCTTTTATCCACTTTCAAATTTCAAATTCTCTCTGCAACTTTTTCAGGTAATGATTCTCTTCTCCGGCAATCTTCGTTCCTTTTTCTGGTTATTGATTCCGGTGACGACGTATTTTCCTTATTTTTAGAGTGATTTGTCATATATTTTCCGTTTGCTTAATCGTTTTCTTTTTTTTTACAGATTGAGAAGAAATGGCTCGTACTAAGCAGACAGCTCGTAAATCTACCGGTGGAAAGGCTCCAAGGAAGCAACTTGCTACAAAGGTTGGTTCTTTTTTGCTTTCATTGCAAAGTTATCCTCTTCTTTTTTTTTTCTGTAATTTATGATTGGGTTTTTAAATATTTCCTTTCATAAGGTTGGAATATATTTTACTGTCTCGTGTTTGATCCGGTATGAAGTAGCCTTTGTTAATACTCTGTTTGGATGGTTGTTACATATTGTTTCATAATGTATCGTATTATATTGTATTGTGTTGTATTTCGTACTGTATTGTTGTGATGAATACAATGTAGGTAAGGTAAAGGATAAAATGAAATCATTAGATAATAAGTAATGATGAAATGAGAAACATAAACAAGATAGCGAAGCGATCACACCAAATCGGTCGTTACACAAGATGACGCTTTTCGTTGTTATGTAACAGTGGATTTAATGATACGGTACAATAAAATTTAGGTAACAATTAAAACAAACATTGTATTTAGACTTATAACACAATATAATACATTAGGAAAAAAATATCCAAGCAAGTTGTTAGATAGTGCTTTACTCCTTCGAGCCCCCATGGAAACTAGGAGGAAACCAAATAATGATTTTTAAACTCTTTAACTAACTGATTCAGATTTATGTGGGTATGTATTAGATTTTGCAAATTTAGGAGGAATTTTTTGTTATAGTTATGCTGATAAGGGTTCTTTTTTCTAATTTGGTAGGCTGCGAGGAAGTCAGCCCCTACCACAGGAGGAGTGAAGAAGCCTCATCGTTACCGACCTGGAACTGTTGCTCTCCGGTACTTTTTCAATCTCTCTTGTTTTGACATTGTTCTTTAACAATCATGTTTTGTCTTAATCTGATTCAGCGATTTATTACTATGTATATTTAATTGTTTATAGTGAAATCCGAAAATATCAAAAGAGCACTGAGCTTCTCATCCGGAAGTTACCATTCCAAAGGCTTGTCCGTGAAATTGCTCAGGATTTCAAGGTAATATAAAACTTTGTGATCCTTAGAATATCAGTCAGTTGCTCCTTCAACACCAACTTATATGACATTGTCTATTTTGGGATGTTTCTAAATATTTTGACATCATTTTACTCATAAATTGCTCAGGACTTTGTGGTAAATGTAGAATCTGTGATGATTAGAGTATCATTTCGTTACTTCCTCCATTCTGATTTATATGTCATTGTTTCTATTTGGGATGTTTCGAACTGTCTGACACTATTCTACTCATTAAAAAATCGTTGGAAACCATTAGTTGTCTATACAACTTTGAAGTGTATAAATTCGCTAGAGTATTCAACTTTTAACTTTTATATGATATATGATGTTAACTCTCTTTTCACGCTGCTTTATTATTCTATTTTGTTATGGATTAATCGGTGCCAAGTGAAACACCCTAACAGAAGATGAAACGAAGGATGCATCTTTTTGTGTGCTTGAAAAAATAGTTGGTTTGGATGATAGTAACACTTCTTTCTATCTTTGTTTATAAAACAGACAGATCTGAGGTTTCAAAGTCATGCTGTGCTTGCACTTCAAGAAGCTGCTGAAGCGTATTTAGTTGGTCTCTTTGAGGACACCAACTTATGTGCCATCCATGCTAAGAGAGTCACCATAATGCCCAAGGATATTCAACTTGCAAGACGGATTCGTGGAGAACGAGCTTAAGCTGATCACAATGCTGATTAATGATCAATCTCTTTTTGGTTATTCGTGTATGTTTTTAGCCTTCACGTACCGAACTAGTATTTTTTGTTTGTGCCTGGATGTAGACCAGTGGATGCATATCTAAAGGACCTTATTGTGTTCTGTAAATGCTAGCACAGGGACACAATACATTGATTAATATGAATTGCTGATTCTGATTAATCCGTTGTGCTGATATGGTGGTTTCGTTGAGTTCCATTACTTCTTGTGAGCCTTTCTGATTGTTTATCTGTGGAATTGGACTGATTTTCGTCGTTGTTTTATGCTCCATATCTGTGTGCCCTTGAAACTGTGTTGATGTAATATACTCGAACAAATGCTGGTAGAGCGGAAGTCTCATATGTGAAGATTTTCCACTCGTTTGTACAATTTTCTATTGGAATGAGGAGAGTATAGGTAATCACCATAGGGAAATTGTGATTTGTGACACTAGTAATACGTGGAGTAACTCTCGATATATAACAACTAAACCAAGACATTTAACACAACCTAAAAAGCACTTGCTCATATCATGATCTCACAAGTCTTTCTTCGTTTAAACCTCGCCCTTCACTTTACTTACCTCTCGAAGCAAGTGAAATATTGAATGAGCTGTTTTTCTCCACAAAATACAAATCTTCAACATTTGCAAACCCCTTTTTTCCAAGTGAAGCTAATGTTAACTACAATTTTAACTTCAACTTCAAACACTAATTTTTTGATTTCAAGTCAAAATATTCAACATAAATGAATACATAAATAAACAGGACCAACAACGTTGAGTTGTGAAATGCAAATTTTGCTTAATATAATGCAATTAAGTGAGACGTTGGAAAATGATATAAGAAAAAAAAAATCGTTTTTGAATCATTCTTTGTTCAATATTTCATTATTATGACGCAGCGCGCATGAAGACATTGCTTAATTGTTCAATGGAATGTTCAGTTTGAGTTTACTAATTTATTTTCGATAGAATTAATGACGTACATTTTGTCAAAAGTATATAATAATTGATCTTATATGTGACATATGTCACCCTCTTTCGAATCCATAATATGATCTAATCAAGGTCAAATTTGATTTAGGTAAATGCAAAGAATTAGTCAATAGGAAAACCAAAAAAAAAAAAAAAGTTTTACGTGCATCCATCAATTTTAGAGCGTTGAAGAAGATATTCAATGGAGAGCACCACTTTTCTTTATAAAAAAAATCGTATGCCAACATATAGATTGTGACAAACATAATAAAATCTTTATTAATTAATTAGTCAGAGGTAAATAAATAAATTGATCAACACAAGCCTTTCGTTATTATTGCAATAGGACTGCAATATATATATATATTTCGAATAGTCAATACAAAAGAATTGAATTTATTATCATGCTTACAACAACGTAACCTTCCAAAAAAAGAATTGTAGCCATCACACCTAATAATAATATTTCTTTTTATCATTTTTACTAATTAAGCTCCTGCTATTTGCGGAATCCAGGGAAGACTCGAACCATAAAAAAATATTTCGACAACTTGAATCGTGACTTCTTACTCACATGACTCACGCCAACCGTGATCCAACCTTGTTACTAAATCCTTATCCAAATTCCTTCACTTGGTATATCTTGATGAACCACAAATAACATATAGTAACCAGGTGGTGCTAATTTACTCGAATTTGGAAAAATTGAATTGATTTTAAAAGTTGATGTTCCAACTTGTGTTACGTTTCCACTTGAAAGCTCAAGTATTCTTTGATTCATAGTAAATGAATGTGTGTTAAATCCTGGTGCAACCATTGTCACCTTGACCAAATTTCTATTTATCGGGCCAGGTATGATAAATCGAATATTCACCTGACCACCATACTTGACTTTTCGTCTCGAAGAAGGTGAAACGACCCGTGGCCGCAAATTTACAGATTCTGAATCCAAATACGATGGTGAAAATGCCTCCAAACTTAACTCTGTCGGGTATAGAACTCCTGTGAAGTTGTAAAGCCCATGTGGATTACTACCACTAACTAGAACTCTACCATCTCGAAGTAAAACTGTTGTTGAATGGTACATTCTTGGTATAGTACTCGAATTTTGTACATCAAATCTTGAATTAACTGGATTATCAGGACGATAAATCACCGGACTCAAAACGGGATTCCGACCAAGTTCCCATCCAGCAGTACCGGCCGTCGCTCCGTTAATGATCAAGACATTTCCATTGGGTAAAATTACCATATCACCCATTATTCGAGCTAGTGGCATTGTCTCCATAATCCATTGTGGATTCGGGTCGGTAATTGTAATCCGCCCACAAGTATTTAACGCACCCAAAAAATTACCTCTTTGTGCCCTAAGGAATGAACCATTTTTTGTTCCACCACATACCAAAACTTCAGCTTGAATTATTTGTGCCTCCAAATTCTTTAAAGGAAGAAGAACCGCAGAACCCGTACTTGGATAATTTCTCGGGTCACCACCTGGTATTTGCGGATACGTTTTCACTATTATATCCCTCGTATAATCGAATAGTATAGCTCGATTATTCGCGAAAATGAATAAATTTCCATCGACATTAAGAAAAACAAAAGGGTAAAGATTGTTTTCCTCTCTAAGATCATTAGTCTGTTGAAGAAATGTAAGATTGAATATATTATTTGTCGAAAGAGTTTTAGGATAAAACTCATAGTTAAAAGCCTCACGGCCTCCTATTATAATTTGTCTGCCATCTGGCAACACATGATTGGTCGCGTACCATCGACTTTGTATTAACGCACCTTCTATTTCTTTCCAATCACACGTACTTTTATTTCCATTACACGGTTTTAAAACTCTTACAACATTTTCACCGTCGTTGAATCCACCGGTCTGAACCAAAGTACCGTCTGAGGTGGCGGAGCCGGAGGAGCACCACACGTCGGTTTGTACCATGAGGGGACGTACCGAGTTGGTGGACACGTCGTACTCAACAGAGTGAGCAGTGCAATCGACTTTCAATGTGAGGTCATTAGTGTTGTTACGACATTTGCCGTTAGGTAAGGAGATGTTGGATGCGCCAAAGTCAGTACGATCGTACATGACGACTCTATCGTTGTTGAGGAGTTGCATGTGCATGGAGGAAATGCCGATGTTGGACATGAGTAGGTCCCACCTACCACCGCCGGCGGCATAAGCCGAGTTCCGGTGACGTGGCAGTAGCAGAAGTAGCTGACCAATTAGAATCAAGAAAGGAAATTTTTTTATTCTAGTCGTCATTGGCTCTATGTAAGATATAAATTTAGGTCTAGATGTCCTTTATATACTATCAATAGTTGGACAAAATTCTATAATTAAATACAGTATTATTGTTTGTTAGCTAGGGAGGGAAAGAATATTAATTAGTTAGAGATATTGTAATATTTGTAATAATAATATATTGTGTGAAACAAATCTTTGGTATCAAGTAATGTTGAGCACGCATAGTCCTTGCATTAATCTTACTAGACAGGTGGCATTTGTGTTGACAAGCGAAAGGGGGTTAAAGAGACCGGCTGAATAATTTTACGGGGAAATTATATCGCGTAAATAAGGTAATTAAAACATAATTAAAATTGAATGGATTGAGCTTTGACTTGTTGTTTAACTCATTTCATGTTAAGTTCTTGTGATTGAGTTAATAACCAACCCAATTTATTAATTCGATTCATTTTAACCTGCTCAAATTCAATTTAACCGTGACACTTTTTAGGTTACATGTTTCCCAATTTAGTTATAACTAACTTGTTGTCAATTAGCGGGATGGGTTATAGCCAGCCCAGCCCAATTCTAGCGATGAAATTCAATAGCCCAGTCCACTCCTTAGGTGTGTAAAATATTGGCCCAATCCAAACTTATCAATAGCCCAGTCCATTCCTTAATTTCTGGATCATAGGTGTGAATTTTCGGAAAAATAACTAAATACACAACTTATTTTATAATATTCTCTAAAATCCCATTTGAAAAAGTTACAAAAATTCATACTCTCTCCTTTTCTCGAATACATCATTTTATGCGATGTATCGGTCATATACATCACTTTACGCGGTGTATTGGGACGTTGAGTGATATATCCAAAATTGAAACGCGATTAATCGGAACGTTGAGGGATGTATCCGAAGCAAGAATGCGATGTATCGAGACGTTTTGGGATGTATTCGGATTCCACCAAATTTAAGGGATATTTGTAATTAATTGGAAAAGAGTAGAAATAAGATGTAATTAGCTCTTAACACTATGAGATTTGTGTACAATTCTCTTAATTTTCAGTAGGATAATTCAATTAATTAGCCTACAAGAAAATAATGTTCCCTCTGTTTTAATTTGTTTATCATGTTTTAACTAGCACAAAGTTTTAAAAAGTAAAAAGAATCATATGATCTTTAAGTAAAGATGGGTAAATGTATTTTTTTTAAAAGATGGGTAAATGTACTAAAATGTACTTCAATCTCGTGGTCTTAAATATGTCATGTGAAAAGATGAAATTAAAGAGTGACCAAAAAAAGAAAAGACACATTGTATTTGAAACAGACTAAAAAGAAAAGTATGACAAACAAATTGAAACGGAGTATATATACTTTGGATATATATATTTCAAATGTCCCTTAATGGGATTATTTTTTAGAAAATAATAGTTGCTAGAGAAGAAGTTAATAGGATTATTATAAGTATTCAACTGTCAAAGATCTCTTTTAATTTACTCATAATTGTAGCTTGTGATAATTAATCATTAGATTTAGTTCGTTGTTTAGCAATAGACATCTTCTAATCATTTGTTTAATTTCTTAAACAATTGGAATACGATGACTAATACGGTTAGTTAGTAAACAACTAGACATTGTATTAGTATTAAAAAATAATAGTTGGACCATAATTAAGTTGTAAGCAAGCTAACAAATGTTTAGTGGAAATTAATCTTAAATTGATGAATTGCATATGTGTGCAATCATTAGACAAATCGAATTATGTAGCTAATGTTATTAGGGATTTTTTTTCTTGTTATTGTAATACATTTGAATATCTTCAGTATTTATTATAAATTACAAAAGTAATCGGTAATTGTCTATCTAGAAATTTTCCAAGAATAAGAAAATAATGTTCATTTTAACTTTATTATATAAAAATTTCCAAACTTGAAAATAACAAAACAGGTGCAATTCTTCTCAACATCTTTTTATTCATGTTATTTGAATGTGTGGTAAAATTGGATGCTCATTTTAATTAAATTGTGTTTAGTATTTTAAATGAAAAGAACTATATGTGGTAGCAAATTAGCAGATTTTTTTGCAGTGAAATTACCATATTCAACAAAATTCAAAATAAAATTGTGGTTGAATTGTATATCTTAAATATGATATTCTGATTGATTATCTCGAATACGTGGTTTAACAACAAACTCAAGTAAAAGGTAAAACCTTTTGACGTGTAACAATATCTGCGAAATAAGGGGTAAAACATTTTGACGTGTAAGAATTTGCTAAAAAAAATTATTTTGATAGTAAAGAGCCTTTCAAAAAAGTTTATTCATATTATTATTGGTGCAAAAAAGTTTATTCATATTATTATTGATGCAAAGATATATATGGGTAGTTTGTTTGAATCAAAGAGTCTTTCAAAAAAGTTATTCATATTATTATTGGTGCAAAAATTTATATGGATCGTTTGTCTGATTGATTCAAATAATTTTTGTGCAGTTGAACTTCGTCCTTATTTTTCTGCTTTAACTTCTCCCTTGTTTTTTTTTTTTTTTTTTTTTATGACAAGGGAAACCCGCAGCCGCTAACCTTTGGGTGCACACAGGGTAAACTCCCGCTCCTATGCAATAGCTCGCAAACCACATAGGAGAGGTAACCCGCACTAGGCAAGCCTGGTGCGACGAGCTCGACCCAGAAGGCAAACCCTTGCTTTCGCTGGCAAGGGGTTTCGAACTTGATACCTCCAACATGGAAGTCCCAAGCTGATACCAAAATGAAGGTATCAAGAGAGTGAAATGCAGATAAGAAGAAGACAGAAGAAGAATTAAGAGAAGGATGAAGAATAGGGGAGAAATTGAGAGAGAATGAGAAGGGAAATGAAAACTATATTGAGCTATCACATTCCAATTATGCCTTACAAGTACTATCCACTCCTATTAATACTACTTAATCAGAATTAAAGGAAAATACAAAGAAAAATACAATGACTACTAGAAATGAACATAGGAACTGATTCTAACTACTTTTCCCGCCAAAATAGTAATCATGCTAATGGTGTGTGACCTTCCAGCTCAGCAATGACGTGGTAGCTGCCATGTGATTGAAGTATTACGTGGCTGTTGAACCCAAATTGGTATCACAAGCTCAAACCACTGGGCCACCCCAAAGGGTTAACTTCTCCCTTGTTTATGTGTAAATATTATAGTATTTTGTATTTATCTTAGGATAATTATATTGTTTAAATATAGATATTGCATATATATATTAAGATAACAATCAAAATGAACCATTATCACATCGATTAAGATAACTTTATTCAGAACATCCAGAGGTCTAAAATTTGAAGGAGATCTAAAAATTATTTAATAATTTTTATACTTTTTATTTGATTTATACTCACATAGCTTTTTAAAATATATTGTTATAAATTATATTTGATAATCAATTTTTTTCTTTAGTTAATAGTATAGCTAATTCGTGTAGTCTTATATTAATAGGTATATATAAATTAATGTATGTCAATATAACATCAAAACTCAAAAGTGTTTAAATCTTAGATAAGTTTTTGCTAATTTTAGTTTTGAATTTTTTCTTAATTGAGTAAATTGTTACATAAATTATTAAATTATTCTATATCTAGTAGAAATATTTTTAAATAGAAATAAGATTTCACTAAATTGAGCAAGTTAGTTAGAGTATTTATCCTTACTTGTATAACATCTTGTTTTGTTTTAGTTCCAAAAATAGATTTAAATCATCAAATACCATAATTGTAATGTTTTAGAATATATTCAAAGTTACAATAATGACTTTCAAACCTAACCATTTAATGATCTAATTAGTTTGAATTTAAAATATCCGTAAGACAATTAAAAAATTGAAGTAAACCTTATAATAGAACCAAAGTTAGAAACATGATAAATTATTTAAGTTTTATGCATTGATCATATAAGTAGGATCCATTAATTGCCTAAAAAATATAGTAAATTGCCAAATATATTGGTTAAATTATATTTTGGTAGTATGACTTAGTTTTATATCTCATTAGAGAAAATATTATATTTCATAGAGATCTTTTTTTCAATAATTAATTTTTTTTTTTGAAAAGAAATGGTATAGAAAATGTGAAATAGGGGAAGAGATTAGAAGGCGGAATAAAAAATAGCATGTCAACTCAATCAGGGCTCCAACAATTAAACTAGTTTTATATCTCATTAGAAAAAATGTTATATTTCATCGAGATCTTTTCTCAATAATTAAATTTCCTTTTTAAAAAAATGGTGTAAAAACTGTGAAATAAGGGAGGGGGAAGAAATTAAAAGGTGGAATAAAAAATAGCAAGTTAACTCAATCAAGGTTCCAACAATTAAACTTGGATGTTTTAACATAATTTACTTCGTTTTTAACCCGATAAAAGTTTAACTAGTGCATTAATTTATATGGAATAGCTTGTTCGACTTCTAATAAAATAAATACTTAAAACCTAATCTATCTAAAAATCTAAAAATAATCCTCATTTTAATAACCAATAACTAGCAAAAATTATATGTTAGGATTTTGAAAGAAAGGTGAATTTTTAGGTTTTCTAGATAGATTAGTTAGTCTGAGTAATAGGTGTATCCGGCATTCGGGTGGGTTAAACAGGTGATGGATGGGTATTTGCATTTTGGGTTAATTAATTGGTCAAACTAGATTGAGTTGTAGGGTTGCACCACGTGTCACTAAGGGCAAATGTGGTCTGCTTTTTGGACGACAAGGGCACTAATGACCGCAAAGTATGATAGAGGGTATTAGTACACCATTTACGATAGTTTAGGGGTATATTTATCTTTTTTCCCAATTATATTTGATAATCAATTTTTTTTTGCTTTAGTTAATAGTATAGCTAATTCGTGTAGTCTTTCATAAGATATTAATAGGTATATATAAATTATTGTATGTTAATATAACATCAAAAGTGTTTAAATCTTAGATAAGTTCTTTTTAATTTTAGTTTTGAATTTTTTCTTAATTGAGTAAATTGTTACATAAATTATTAAATTATTCTATATCTAGTAGAAATATTTTTAAATAGAAATAAGATTTCACTAAATTGAGCACGTTATTTAGAGTATCTATCCTTGTATAACATGTCGTTTTGCTTTAGTTCCAAAATTAGATTTAAATCATTAAAACCATAATTGTTATGTTTTAGAATATATTCAAAGTTAGGAAAATGACTTTTCAAACCTAGCCATTTAATGATCTAATTAGTTTGAACTTAAAATATCTATAAAGACACTTAAAAAATTGAAGTAAACCTTATAATAAAACCAAAGTTAGAAACATGATGAATTTTTTAAGTTTCATGCATTGATCATATAAGTAGCATCCATTAATTGCCTAAAAAATACAGTAAAATTGCCAAATATATTGGTTAAATTATATTTTGATAGTATGACTTAGTTTTATATCTCATTAGAGAAAATATTATATTTCATAGAGATCTTTTTCCAATAATTAAATTTTCTTTCTTTTTAACTTGACAAAAGTTTAACTAAAGCATTAATTTATATGGAATGGCTTGTTTTACTTTCTGTTTTACTTTTAATAAAATAAATTCTTAAAGTACCTAATAAAAAGACTTCTCCATATCAACATACATTTCAGGCTAAGCTAATTATAAGCTTTAACTATGTAGGCGGGGAGTATGGTTGCCAAGGGATTCACTCAAATTCCCCATTAAAAAATTACATTATATATGTAAAGGATAAATTTTCTATATTTCTGTATATATATAAAATTTGAACCACCTAAATAAAAAAGAGGGATAGCCTAGTAGTACTCGACTGTGCAACTTGGGCCACGAATCTATCCCTAGAATATTCTTATTTTTCGAATCCCTTAGTGAAAATTCTGAATCCGTCATTGATTATATGATTTCATATTGTCAGAACATGCATTAGTTAGGATTTGGCTCTTCTCCATTTCCATTCTATTCATTTTCTCCAAGTTTTAATTTATATGATAAACATATGTCGAGACCGAACCAAGATTTAAAGCTTATGCGTTCAAGATTCTAATCTTTTATTGTTCTTTTAATTAACACAAAATTAGTAAATTTGTAAAATAAAAACACAATCCAATTGTCTTGCTAATTAATTACAACAACTTCTCCAAAACCCAAAACAATTTCTTCCTTCTCATGACATTATTACTATACTAGAAAAAAAAACACCAAAACAAAACTTCCCATACACTTTAGTTGGAAGTAAAAGAAAATTATGAAAAATACAATTTGTAGATCGAATCAAATGCATATGGTTAATTGACCCTGACCCAAATTGCCTCACTTGGGATGTCCTGATGAACCACAAATAGAAGATAGTAACCGGGTGGTGCTAATTTACCCGAATTCGGAAATACACAACTCACTTCATACACAAATCGTCCTACTTGTCGTACAATTCCTCTTGGAAGTACCAACATTCTTTGATTCATCGTATTCGAATGTGTATTAAAACCCGGTGCAACAATAGTCACTTTGATCGAATCTCGATTTAGTAATCCTAAAGCAGTAAATCGAATGTCAACACGTTGTCCATACGTGAATTTAAGATGTGAATCAGGAGAAATGATTTGTGGTCGTAGATTAGCAAATTCCGCATCCAGATAAGATGGTGAAAATGCCTCTAAGCTTAACTCAGTTGGAAAAACTACTCCAGTGAAATTGTAAAGCTCATTTGGATTGCTACCGCCGACGAGAACCCGACCATCTCGGAGTAGAACGGCTGTTGAATGGTACATTCTAGGTATGGCATTCGGGGTTTGTACCTCGAATCTAGAATCAGATGGGTTATCGGGTCGGTAAATCACCGGACTCAAAACCGGGTTCCTTGCAATTTGCCATCCAGCTGTACCCGTCGCGGCTCCATTAACAATCAAAACGTTACCGTTTGGTAGAATTACCATATCACCCATTGTTCGAGGTAGTGGCATGGTCTCCATGGTCCATTGTGGATTCGGGTCGGTAATTGTAATCCGCCCGCAAGTATTTAATGCACCCACAAAATCCCCTTTTGTTGCTCTGAGGTATGAGCCTTTTGGTGCTCCACCACACACCAAAACCTCAGCTTGAACAAACACTGTTTGTGAACGTAAGTTCTTTAAAGGAAGAAGAACTGCAGAACCCGTACTTGGATAGTTTCTTGGGTCACCACCGGGTATTTGTGGGTACGTTTTCACTATCGTATTTGTTGTGTAATCGAGCAATATAGCTCGATCGTTGGTGAAAATGAATAAATTCCCATCGACGTTAAGAAAAACAAATGGGTATAAATTGTTTTCCTCTCTAGGAACATTAGTTTGTTGAAGGAAAGGTAGACTAAATACGTTGTTGGTTGAAGCAGTTTTGGGAAAAAACTCGTAGTTAAAAGCATCACGGCCTCCTATTATAATTTGGCTTCCGTCAGGAAGAATATGATTGGTGGAATACCATCGACTTTGAACTAGTCCATCTCCCATTTCTTGCCAATCACAAGTGTTGCATGGGTTAAAAGTTCTCACCATAAGTTTACCATCATTGAATCCACCAGTTTGGACCAACGAACCATCCGAGGTGGCAGAGCCCGAGGAGCACCACACGTCGGTCTGGACCATGAGAGGTCGTATTGAATTAGTGGACACGTCGTATTCAACAGAGTGGGCAGTGCAATCGACTTTCAAGGCGAGTTCTTTAGGATTGTTACGACATTTGCCATCAGGCAAGGGGATGTTGGATGCACCAAAGTCAGTACGATCGTACATGATGACTCTATCGTTGTTGAGGAGTTGCATGTGCATGGCGGAAATGCCAATGTTGGGCATAAGTAAATCCCATTTGCCACCTGCAGCATTAGCCAAGTTCAAGTCATGACATGATAGTAATAGAAGCAAATGCAGCTGCCAAAGAACAATGTTGTAAACAAGACTTGTTTTAATGGCCATTAGATATGTTTTTCTTTTGTTTGTTTTGTTATAAATTGGACAAAATGCAAAGGGGAAAAAGAGAGCTTTGAAGAGTATACTATGATGTGTGGTGTTTGTGTTGTTGTGAGAAGAGGCTATGGGTAATGTCCTTTATATACTATTGATGTGTGTATTATTTCTACACATAATTAAGCAATTATTTGTTTGCATTATAAATAATTGCCACAAGTGGTAGTTTGGGGTGGGGGGATATAAGTAATTAAGACACTTCTTAATACAAAATTGACTTTTGGAAGAATATTTAAGATTTCATTAGTCAACACCATATATTGTAATTGTTCTAAACATCACTAGGAAAGATGAGTGCTCTGTTCCGTGTGTTTAATTAGGATATATGAGATTTATATGTAATATTATCGAGGGAAAAAAGACAAATATACCTCCGAATTATCGTAAATAGTATGCAGATATCCTCCGTCATACTTTTGAGACATTGGTGCTCCTACCGTCCAAAAACTAGAGCATATATGCCCGTCACTCTAACAGAAGACTAAATAAGGACACGTAACACAATTTATCCGTCGATCCGATATTTAATAAATGTCGAATCGGTGAATAAGATTATGACATGTGTACGTCCATTAGTATAAAGAATTTATATGCTCTAGTTTTTGGATGACAGGGGCATCAATGTCCCAAAAATATGACGGAGAGTATTTGCATACCATTTACGATAGTTCGGGAATATATTTATCCTTTTTCCCTATTATCAATCGCTGTGAAGTGTAATATTGTATTTTGATTAATTGGATCATTTTTTTCATGATTCATATCTTAATAAACTCTTCGAGAGGTGTTTCTGTGTATTATTTGACCGTTTTATTCAAAAAGATATCTAATTAAAAAAATGCTAATCTATTTCTAAAGATATACTCGATTACATTTTGAATTAATCATGCCCATATTTTTGCTCGTTGTTTCAATATCGATTAAGCACTTATTTAATTTTATTCTTAATATGAATTTGATTCTCATGGAATTTATAAATATCATTAAACCGACAAGAAAATATGCTTTTTTGTTGTAAAGGGAAATGCTTCATGAATAGAGAATATTTTCTCCATTATTTTTGTAAAAACATTGTATTCACTATTGCTTTTCAATTTATAGCCAAATTCATGCAATTAATTAATTTTACCTTTGTTTTCGCTAATTGTTTTCAGTTTGCTCCCATCTTATGGTACATACATTATAGTATTTTCGATCATTAATTTGACAACTAGATTAGGAATAATTTGAGTTAATTAAGTAACCATCTTGGAAGATTAATTAATTAGCCCCCAATAATTATTTACGGATGGAACAAACATTTCCAATTATTCTTTTGTTTTAAGCAATTAAGGTTATAAAATTGTCAATAGAAGAATTTGAAGAAAAAAATGCATGGTTTTGGCCTAATTACATGTTGAGAGTTCAAAAAAATTATGAATTTTAGACAGAAATTTTGAGAAAAAATTGTCGTAAATTGGCTCGTTAGAAGATTTTTAAAAAAAATGAAAATTCGTGTGCTTTTAGCAGTAACTGTTGAAAGTAATATGCTGTATGCATGGAATTACAAGCATAGCTTTAATTTGTGCTTAGATGATTTATTAGTTCTCTTTAATTTAACTACGATGAGTATATTTTAACTAGTTATAACTTCTTGATTTTAATTTTCTTGGTTATCTTATTTACTTACGTACTATAGACATTTATTCTATATTTAGCAGTGGCGGAACTAGAGTTTTCACTTAAGGGGTTCAAAATATAAATAAGTAAACATACGAACTAGTTGAAGGGGTTCAACATCTATTATATATGCACAAAAAATAATTTTAATCATATATAAATAATGTAATTTTTTATCTAAGGACCCTCCTGGGCCTAAGTTAGCTCCACCCCTGATATTCAGTATATTCTATATTGATATTATACCTAGTATAATAACTTAAATCTTATTTAGATAAAATAATTATTTCACCATCGACGATCCACACGTTTCTCCAACAATTATATATGCAATTTTTATTTTATTTTTTAGTTTTGCCTTATTAAAGATTTTCTATTGGAAAGGGAATTTCATGTTTGACTTGTTGACATATTTAATAAAATAAATAATTAAATTAATAGATAAAAAGATTTGATTTCTTGTCAATATCCACATACATTTTAGGCTAATCGAATTATAAGCTTTAATCATTATAGTATGGTTTCATATTGCCAGGCCATATACATGCATTATCAGTTAAGTTATGTACCAAATCACCTGATTAATCAAACGATCTTTACTAATTAATTAAGTGCACAATTATGACTCGAAATGTCATAATAATGAGCTCTTGCATGCATGCACGTTTCGTTTCTTGTCATTTTTTTTACAATCCTTTTTTATTCTTTTCTTATGTGGATATTTTGACATGCATGAACAGAGAAGGAAAACTTAATGAATTATTTCATATATTAAAATATTTTAGAGAGAGAATTTGGCAAATGTCAATAGTTTTTTTATACTACAACGTACTCGTGTAATTCGCAAGTAAGATCTCTGAAGATAGAGTGTACATAAATCTTATTCCTATTTTAGGAAATAGAGATATTACTTTCAATAGACCGGTTCAATTAAAAAAAATGAATGAAGAAATTGGTTTAGATATATAAGGGTAATTAATAAAAAAAAATTGATCCTTTAATTTAGTTATTGGTATATTCTAATTTTTAGTCTTTATAGTATGACTAAAAATTGGTGTTTGGAATGACTTATTTTTATTGGTTTTGACTTTTAAGTTATTTTTTAGTTCTGGAAGTGTGCTTAACAAGTAGCAAAGAAAGTCAAAAATCAAAAATTGGTTGAACCCAACTTGTGACTTTTAACTTTTAACTTATAAGTCACTTGAAAAAAAGTAATCCAGACACTTCTTAAAGTCTGTTTGGATTGGCTTTTGGCTTAAGTATTTTTTTCTTCTTCTTCATTTTAGCTTACAAGTGCTTTCAAGCACTTTTTAATTTATCCAAATATTTAAAAAGGTGTTTAAAAGCTATTTTAACTTTAAAATCTTTAAAATAAGTCAAATATGCTCTAATCTTTTTAATCTTTAATTAATTAGAATGTGCACTTTAATCACTTTGCTTGTGATGTTCACAGATTAAAAAAGAATTATATAATTTAATTATCTATGTGTTAAGTTAAACTTGTATTGTTATGTTACTCAATTTGTATGAAATATTTTTAAAAATAGTCAAAACATAACATATTTCTTACATATTGGGATTACAATACAACTTTTAACTAATTAAAAGGTTAGTTAAGTCGAGTCAGGCATAGATCCCAAAGACCAAAATAGGAATTTATGTATAAATTAAACTAAGGGAGCAAAAGTGATACTATCCATTTTATTTAAATAAAGAAATATATGGTTTACACCGGAGTAATTAACTTTGGCAAATGCCTATGGGTCTTTTAATTTCATGTCATCAAATCGTACTATAAGATTAAATTCGCCATTTGTTATTGAATCCAACTCAGTTTTCTTTTGTCACGATCCAAAGTTCAAACTCATCGAATGTTTATTGTCCGCTTTGGGTTTAGCCTAATTCAATTTTAGTTTATCGTTCTTGTTATGTCACATCAAGTCTAAAAAATGCGTATACTATACGAATGATATCCTTAATAAAGTTAGTTATTTTCCCCAATCATTCGGTTATGGAATTTACCTAAGGCATCATTTCGTCTAATCTTTAAAAGTTTGTCAACCTAGAAATCTGTCAGTCCTATTTGACCCACTCTCATTAGCCTGCCATCGATCAAAGCGCATCAGATCTTTTTCTTCTAAACAGAAGCTAACGTTAAAAATATATACCCAATGGAATATGATTATTAGTTAAGCAACAATTGAAAGGTCAATTTTTAATCTTATTATACTCTCAAACTTATAAAGATCAAATTAAAACAGATCTTTACATACACTTTGTAAGAAGACAAAAAAAAATAATCCTGAAATAATGGATCAATCAAATGTAATTAAAAGATCCTGACCCAAATTCCCTCACTTGGTATGTCTTGATGAACCACGAATAGAAGATAGTAACCCGGTGGTGCTAATGAACCCGATTTTGGAAATAAACAACTCATTTGATACGAAGATTTCCCAACTTGTTTTACGACTCCATTTGAAAGTACAAGCATTCTTTGATTCATCGTATTTGAATGTGTGTTAAATCCTGGTGCAACCATCGTCACTTTGATCGAATTTTTGTTTAGTAACCCGGAAATAGAAAATTGAATGTTAACCCGTTGCCCGTAGTTGAATTTATGGCGGGAAACAGGGGAAATGATTTGTGGTCGCAAATTAGCAGATTCTGAATCCAAATAGGACGGTGAAAATGCCTCTAAGCTTAACTCTGTTGGGAAAAGAACTCCAGTGAAGTTGTAAAGCTCATTTGGGTTGCTACCACCAACAAGAACCCTACCATCACGGAGTAAAACCGCAGTTGAGTGGTACATTCTAGGTATGGCATTCGGATTTTGTATCTCGAATCTAGAATCAAGTAGGTTATCGGGTCGGTAAATCACTGGACTTAAGACCGGGCTCCTAGCAATTCCCCATCCAGCAGTGCCCGTCGCGGCTCCATTGACGATCAAGACATTTCCATTTGGTAAAATTACCATATCACCCATTGTTCGAGGTAGCAGCATGGTCTCTATGGTCCATTGTGGATTTGGGTCAGTAATTGTAATCCGCCCGCAAGTATTTAACGCACCCACAAATTCACCTCTTGTTGCTTTGAGGTATGAGCCTCTTGGTGCTCCACCACACACCAAAACCTCAGCTTGAATAGTTTGGGCTTCCAAGTTCTTTAATGGAAGAAGAACTGCAGAACCCGTACTTGGATAATTTCTCGGGTCACCATCAGGTATTTGTGGATACGTTTTCACTATCGTATTTTTTGTGTAATCGAATAATATAGCTCGATTGTTCGTG